CACTCTCTCTCCACCCAGCCAGACTTTATCACACTTTGCTAACAAGCATGGAGAGAGTGTGTCGACACACACTCGGGCACAGCCAGCGTTTTGTTCTCTATCTTTAATACCCAGGGCTCACACACTCACACACACACACACACACACACACACACACACACACACACACTTGTCCCAAAGTTCTCGCTCCCGCACACAATAAATTTCTTTAAAAAATAAGTCACTTGAACTCCGTCTCTTTCGTAGTGAGCATAAAACACAGTTCCCGGGTGTGGGGAGTCACAGCCCCCTTGTTTCTGTGCTCTCCGTCTTGCTCAGCCTTTCCCTTTACCAGAGCTGGCGTTGCACACAGACACTCACACAATGACAGGATCTCCCTGTTCGGGCTCCAAGGCTCTGATGAAAGTGTTGGGAATGTGTTCTGAGAGGCCACTGACACTTCCTCCACTTTCTAGTCCTGACGACTGGCCTCAGGCATGTGATGCCCCGCTGACTGCTCCCTCCAGACGGCTAATGGCCATAAACCGCACATGACATACGCAGTAGATGGGCTTTCATCTGCTGTGGTGCTGGTCACTGAGGCTCCGTCGCTGTGGATTTATCTTGCATTAGTCATTTAGCTGCTTCTAATGGCTCAGTTGTAAGTAATGATTGAAAAGCGTCAAAATTACAAGCAGCATTGATAATGTCCTGTCTGAAGTAACGCCGGAGTCACCACAGCCACAGAATGCAATAAACCCAAAACAACAAACTCACCAAGAGGAGGAAAAGGATGCTTTGTGTGCATTACCATGGCGCTAGCAATTTGTCTCCACTGGACTGTTTTCATCCCTTGTCCTGACACAGTTCATGCAAAAGAGCCCCTACAGTGTCCGTAAGGATGCATTCAGTCATTTATTTATATGAGATCAATACAAGCAGCGTTCTTCATGGGAAGCGTCTTGTTTTTTCAAGATTGTCCCAAAACAGCACTCAGGTCCACGTACACGGATCAGCGACAGCATTACAACCACCGGCCTTCTGTCGTGTAGGTCCCTCCCATGCTCAGCTCAGACCCATGGGGGCATGGACACAGGACTTCTAGTGTCTGGCAGTGGATCCTTGGGTCCTGTTGGGTTGCAGGGTGAGACCTCCAGGGATGGGACTTGTTCTGCTGCATCCAGCAGATGCTCATTCAGATTAGAATCTGGAATCTGGGGAGTTTAAAGACTCTGTGTCATGTCCATCGAGCCATTCCCGGGCAGTTTCTCGGGTGTGTCGGGGCACATGGTCCTGCTTGTGTCGGCTGCTGGTGCTGAGGAGTGCCGCTGCCACGCCGTGTGTTTGGTCTGCAGCGATGTGTGGGCGGTGGCACATGTCGAAGAAACATTTACATGAATACCAGGACGTGAAGTTTCCCTGCAGAAGGCGACGTTATAACGAGCTGGTTAATGTAAGGCACCTCACTGCTCAGCTGATTGACCTATACAGTAAATTAAAACAGTTTTCCTCCTGCTCATATTGGTGCTGAAAGATCTGCTGTCCTATGTCCATGCACAAATATATTCCAGGATTTATCTGATGCTCATACACTGTGGGCCTTTAGCAGATATGGTCCAAGGTTAGTCTCTTTCCTACCAAATTCCCTTTGTGTTTGCTTTATATTAGCTTCAGTCACGCTTGAGAATGACATTTATGCAGAAAAACTGGATTTTATTCTCATCTCCTGTATTGCAAATGCATTCGGTATGTCCAGTGTTAACAGAAAGAATTAAAACAGCAAACGAATCAGTTTCACGCGTCCTATAGGCGCTTCACTGTAGTTTTAAACAGACTTGGAAAACTGGGAAACCAGCCTGTAAATGAGGTTTCACATTTTCCTGGTCTTAGTTAAAACTTCTTTTAAAATCCCTTTAAAAATAGTGGAAACATTAATCATATTTAAAAATACAGTGAAGTGTGCAATGAAAAGCAAAGTAGCCTCAGTGCTGTGATTAGCGGTTATTGTTCAGGTCTGTGCAGAACACTGGAACATGAAGCAGAGCAGTCCAATGATTAAATACTGCTAATAAAATGTACTACTGATATTTCAGAGAATGAAATAACACTTTAACACCACTACAAACAAATACGACTGCAGATGGAATTTCTTATCGGCCGCCTCAGGGAATTAGAGATATAAACAGAGTCCAGAAAACCGTTTACTTAATTGATTAGGACTTCCTTTGTACCGTCAGTGGTGCTCTGCCATGTGTAGCACACGTGGGTCTGGGATCAGGGATGCTGTAGTGTTCTTAGGCAGTGATTGGCATTAAAAATGTACCACTGTGGAAGAAAAGCACAGCAGAAGTACACTTCAAGCTATAGCTACCTGCACAACTGTTTCTCAACATTACGTCTTATTCGTGACAACCTTCAAAACAGCATCTGACCGATGAGGTCTGCAGTCGAGGTGCAGCGGTCGAAAAATATTTTTGGCAAACTTCTGCTGTTATCACTTCCAACACACGACCTCATCTCCCCACAGGATCCCCGACTTTCATGTGAATGTTTGAGAGGTGCAGCTTGTGACATATATGTGTATACACAGTGTATATATAATATTTAACAAATTATTTTAAAATGGATAAAAGAATTCCAAACTTTGTGTTGACTTTTGGCACTGAGGGGATTTTTGCTGTGTCACTGCAGAGAGGAAAGACACTTTAAAGGATCTGGACGATCATCATAGAAGGTAAATGAGAAGCAGAGGATTTCCTCTGACCCCAACCTTCTGACTCCCGTCCTTTGGTTCTGCGTCCCCTCTGCAGTCCTTCCCCCTCGTCTCTCTCTTTGGCTGTCTCACTTACACTCTCTGCTCCTGCCTGAGGTCCTGTTTCCGGCCGGGGGTGTATGAGCGAGACTGGCCAGCATCTGTGTGGGAATGGAGCTTATTACACCCACATATGTTCCTGTGAGCATTGTTTCTGTGTTTGTGAGTTTATGCTGAGCATCATGGTGCTGCTGTTTCTGCTTAGTTTCTTAGATTTCTTCTTTTTTTTTTTAAAAGCATAAACTCGTAAACCTCCAACAGATGGAAAAAACATGTTTTCTAGCTTCATATCACAATGAGGTTTATTCACACAGCACAGATGCTCGCACACAAACGCACAAAGACACAGCTGCTCACTCATAGCAGGCATGAACGCAGGCAGCCAAACATGCAGCGCCCCAGCGCAGAGTTGCTGTAAACTGTGGACAACACAAGTTTTGTTTTTAGTAATTATTTTATGGACTTGTTGCTCCTGAAAAGCTGCTGTTGTTGACTTAGTGATGGCTTCTTTCCACCAGTGAAACACTTGGGGTGCACACACACATGAACGCCTACCGACCCGGTTGGGTCTAAATCCAAAGGGCTTTTGTTTCCCATGTTTCAGGAACCGGCTTAAGTACACATGTTTCCTAAAGTACGGCTTTGTTGTCAACGTTATGAAAGAGGAATACAAGAATTTTCCTGAAAAAAAAAAGAGATAAACTGATTCTTGACCAAAGGATAAAAATATCTCTGAGAAGTGAACACAGAGGCCATTGTGCCCCGTACAGGCAGGTTGTGTCGGGGTAGATCCATATGAATGGATGGAATAACACTCGGAACACAAACGTAGCAGTGATGTGGCAGCAAACTGTGTCAGGATGTAGTGGAGTCATTAGAGAGCAGCTCACACTCCCTGTGCATGTGCTGTAATCTGAGTTTCTCTGTTCTGTGTGGAAGCCAGTCTGCCCACAAATGCACGACAGAGCTCACTAGTCCCGCCTCCTCAGGCTCTTGGCCCAGTTACACAGTAAAAACCGACCCTCAATTGACATGATTCACCCAATTTATGTGCCTTCTCCACGTCTGTCTGATCCACTCCGGTCTTTGTGTGTCTGTTTCCACATGTGGATCTGCTCCGGTCTTAGCGTGTCTGTTTCCACA